CCGTAATGAAAACCTCACCAATGTTAGCCACTGTACTGTTACAAGACGTTTACATGATGCCGGATTGTTCGGGCGTATCGGTGTGAAGAAGCCTTTAATTAGCAAGAAGAATCAGAAGGCCAGTTTACAGTTTGCAAAAAATCACATAAACTGGACAGTAGAAGATTGGAGAAAGGTAGCATTTTCCGATGAATCAAAATTTAATTTGTTTGGAAGTGATGGAAGACATCATGTGCGACGTCCAGTTGGTACCAGAAACAATGTAAGATATCAAATTCTAACTATGAAACATGGAGGAGGCAACGTGTTGGTGTGGAGTGTTCTTTCTGCTTATGGCGTTGGTCCGTTAGTCAATATTGATGGAACTATGAATGCTGCGATATATAAGAATATCTTGGAAAAGAATTTGCTACTATACGCCAAACGCAAAATGCCAAGAAACTGGATATTTCAACACGATAACGACCCGAAGCACACCTCAAGTCTTGTAAAGAGTTGGCTCTTGGTTAAAAAACTGCAGGTTTTAACCTGGCCATCGCAGTCTCCGGACCTCAACCCCATCGAACATTTGTGGGATGAATTAAAGCGCCGAGTTAAAGTTCGTAAGCACTCGAATAAGACACAGTTACTCGAGCATTTGACGGAAGAATGGAATAATATACCGATAAGTGTTATTGATCAGTTGATAGAATCTATGCTTCATCGCTGTGCTGCAGTAATAGCTTCAAAGGGCATGGCAACAAAGTACTAAGTGTGAAAGACTATTATTTACTGAATTAAAGTGTCTAAAGTTGCTCTTTTTGTTGGAAATAAACATGGCCAGGAACTTTTGAACAGTAATATTTATGTTATTTGTTAATAATTCAGTACAATAGAATAAATCTTTATAATATAACATTATCTGTTAATTATTTAAGCTTCACATACTATGTATCTTACAATATTGCAATTCTTTTATATTAGAAATTATAACCAACAGTGAGTTTGGCCAAGAACTTTTGCACACCACTGTATGTATCATCGTTATTTTGTATTACTTATTTATTATTTTTCATTCAAGCTATAAGCCGTTACTGGAAAAATGGCGTGAGTTCCAGAAAATATGGCATACACCAAAGCGAAAAGATTGGGACATCGTGTTTACCAACGGTTCTATGGACGCCTGCAGCAGAATCTTCGACATGATGGTCGATGAAAATGAACCGATAATGTTGCAATCGCCAACATACGGTGGAGTAATTGGAGCGGTAAGTTGCGTTAGAATAATATCACGAGAAAATGACAGAATTGACGCGTGGTCGTGAGCTTCATTCCGAAATTACGTTCTACAAGTTCTTTTCTTTCACTCACACGACAGCTACTGCCGTTGCTGCCGGATATTGTGGAGATCACTCAAGATGCCGATGGGATAATTCCTGAACAAATTGTTGAGGAATGCGAGAGGAGACGTGCGAGTGATAGACCGATGCCAAAAGTAAGTATGAAAATTTGCGTAGTATAGATACTACGCAGTAATGATCCCAGAAAGCACAGACTTCTAAAAAATGTCTTAGAGATGTGTAAGACATGTAAAAGACATCTGAATATTTCATCTAAATATCACAATAAAATAGGACATCATTAAGACATTTCTTAGAAGTTTGTGTTGTCTGGAATGTATCAATTTTGGGTGCTCAAATATCTTGGGTATTCGAATCTTTCGGATATTACTCGGATAATTCCTGCGAATGTTCATGTATACAAGCATCCAGGTGGTTAGGACCTGTGAATTTGGACATTTAGATATTCGGATAGTACTCGAGATACTCATTAATAATCATGTATTTAGATATCCCAGATAGCACAGAGAATTAAAAAAGAATTCGGTCGTATGTCACAATTCTGAGTCCATTTTTAGATACAAAAAGAATTCTTTTCACTGATAAACTCTGAAGATTCTTTTTGCATCTGAAAGTAAACTCAGAATTGGTGACATACGACTGAATTATTTTTGAATTTTTTTTTTAATTCTCTGTGCTATCTGGATATTACATACCTGGATATTAACACGTGAAAATACCTGGTTTATACTGACAGCACATTATTACCCAGTACACTTTTTGAAATCTTATTTACTATTTCCAACGTGGTTGCACTTTAATATAGTCTTCTTTGATCGGAAAGATGTACAGATTGCTTAATTTTTCAGTTACTCTACGTTAATCCAATGGCGAATCCAACTGGCACTATTTTGTCGGAGAGTCGACGAAGGAAAGTGTACGAATTGGCGCAGAAATACGATTTCTTGATAGTCGAAGACGATGCCTATTACTTCGTTCACTTTTTGGACAAACAGCCCATGTCGTTTCTTTCTCTCGACACTGACGGTCGCGTGATCAGACTCGACTCGTTCAGCAAGATTGTAAGCTCTGGTCTTCGTATGGGTGCTGTTACCGCGCACAAAAAGATTGTGGACAAAATTATCATTCACATGGAAAATTCTGTCCTGCACGCGTCGTCTATGTCCCAAGTAAGATTTCGCTCTTAATTTCACTTACTTGGTCGTGAAGGAGCCGATGCAAAGAATGATATAATTTTTGATATATAAATTCGAGATAGCAGAAAAGAATTTTGATAACGTATCAATTTTTGCTTATTATAGATGCTTCTTTATAAACTCTTTGATATTTGGGACAAACCCAAATTCGAAACACATTTCAAGAATGTTCAAAGATTCTACCGAGAACGACGTGACGTAATGCTGACATCGATGGAAAAACACTTGACTGGTATCTTAAATAATGATACAGTTAACAATAATTTGATTATGAATTTAAATAGAGTTTTTCCTAATATATTTCAAAAATAACTTCAAACCGCTCTCACGGAGTTGATTTTAATTTTAGGTCTGGCAGAGTGGAATGTGCCGCAAGGTGGCATGTTTTTTTGGGTAAAAGTAACAGCGATTGATAACTCCATGGATTTAGTAGTTAAAGGATGCATTCCTAAGGGTGTTTTTATTATTCCTGGGAATGCCTTCTGTTTTGATTCTTCAAAGCCTAGCAATTATGTAAGATTAAGCTATAGTTACGCTACGGAGGAAGATATAGACAAGGTAAGTTCAAACTGAAATTTATTAATTTCTATTATCTAGCAAGTGGATTCACGCATTTATATGCATACACATTATATTGAAATTGTTGTATTGATATTTTTCATTTATTTTCAGGGGCTATTTATACTGGCTCAAGTAATACGCGAAGAAATCGAGAAGAAAGCGAAGAAAGTTTAATAATTAAAAAAATTAGTATACGCACATTATCTACAGAACAATTACTTCTTTTGAATAATTTATTCTATACGTTTCATGATTTGTGTTTTTATACTTTTATTATATTATAATAGTAACAAAAAGGATTACAGTTAAAGACTGCGATTATCAAATGCTGTCTAATATATATTTAATTTGTATCGATCAGTAGCCTATTCAATCGTTTTCCTTGTTGGAAAACATCAACAATCAAAAATTAAACTTTATTTAGTCGAAATTACAATTTTTCTTAGCCGAGATTCAAACCCGTTAAATGCAACGAGCCTTCTCGCAGCATCATTAAGGGGATGACGAACTCGAACAACGTCGATAATGCAGAGACGATCGTTACTCACATAATCATGCTATCCTTTTCGTATTTCTTGTATATACAGAATTTATATGAATATGTATTGTTTTGTTTTACCATATTCAACAGAAACCTAACCATTTATGTGTAAAAATCTTTCTGCAAACCTTTTCGATAGTTTTAAGCTTCCAAAGGCAAATGCGAAGGTAGAGCAATGTTCTTCAAAATTTTTCTGCTTGGAGCATCCATACTTTCGGTATAAATAAGCTGCGGAACTTTTGGATTAGACAAATATTACGCTAACTGACAGCTTGAGACTTTACATTAAAAATTTTTTGTTCGTTTTTGACCCATATCGAGCAATGTTCC